AGACCGTTTGAGTGCGCACTTCACTGTTCGAGCGGTGTAAGTAAAGGCGGTACAAAATATATAGTTTGATCGCTTAAGAGGTAAAACTTGTTTTCCAGAAGTTTAGTTTGCAGGTAGAGAAATTGGGCATTCACTGCTCGAGCGCACAAATTACCGCTCGAATGGTCAAACAATTTTGGCCTTGAGGGTGCTGTCCCTTGACCCCACCTGGGTGCTGTTTTGGACTCGTTATGGGGCGCTGCCCCCTAGACTCTATATATAGTCAGCAAAATGACAAACATAAAAGTCTCAAGATCACAAACTCCTTTGCATAGAGACAATTCAGGTTGGATTCGCATATAAACATTTGCATCTTTACTAAGACATAAGAGCGAATAAAATTATAATTAAAAAGAATTTTACTAAACAAAATTACCAATTATAAAAACATAATAATGTAAATATATATATATATATATATATTTTGGGTAAATTATAATTTAACCCCCTGTGGTTTATCCTAAAAACACGGAACCCTCTTGTACTTTCATTTGTAACACTTAAACCCCTAAACTTTATACCATGCTGTAATTTTTGATGGACGTACAGAAATGCACAAAACGACGTCGTTTTGTGCACCGCCTGATAAAATACAAAATAAAAAAAGAAAAAACAGGAGAGAGAGAGAGAGAGAGAGAGAGTCATAGAAAGAGAGATTGCGACTAGGGAGAGAGAGAGAGAAAGAGAGACAAACACTCTTCCTTTCCCTCTAATGGCCAAAACCAAAAACCCAACAAAATCCACCAAGAAAAATCAGAAAAACCAGCCCGACAATGCCCCAAAATCACAAAAAGCACTATGTTGGTAAGTTGTGAGATGCCGCCTCACCTACAAACACCTCTAGACCCAACCAAAATATATGTGTATATTGGCATTGAGAAGACCCAAATACTGGCTTAGAAGAGCTCCCTGAAGCTTCTTGGTGGGCGAAATCGTGAAGGCCAAGCCAAGCCATGTCTGCTTGGGAGCAATCCACCAACCCAAATATTGAAAACAACTCAGAAAACAGAGCATACCTGGGAATACTCAACACTGAAATACTTATGAGCAAAAACCCACAGCTATGATAGTGTTACCACGGACCACTACCATGGACGGCGATACCATAGCCATGAGCTTGAATCACCTCTCAATAGCACCACTGGACCTTTCTATATTCTCTGAACCACAAAAAGGCAGCCCAGAGAAGCACCAGAGAAACAACGAAAAACCAGAGAAGCACCACCGGCCAACCTGCCATATCACATGGAGGAATCGCCGACAACGAACTAACCACCGACGACACAACCCAGACCAATAGAGCACTCACAGAATTGCCAAGGCTGCTCTACAACCCAACCGAAACACCAACTGGCCGAAGAGCTACCAAGACCCACAGAAAAGACTGCCAGAGCACCAACCCAGAGACCATACCTGTTAACATCATCTTTCTCTCTCTAGAACTAGAGAGAGATGCACACCTTCAGTCGAACCACAAAATTGGGACATGAAAGCCTTCCAGACAATTGTTGTGGAGTTGGTGAGTTAGATGAGACCATTGTTGTGGATCTCTGCAACACTGATCAATCGAAGAGTGTTTATTCAATCGAAGAGTGTTTATCTCTCTCTCTCTCTTGTTGCAATCTCTCTCTCACTCCTGTTTTTTATTTTATTTTATTTTTTATCAGGCGGGGCACAAAATGACGTCGTTTTGTGCATTTCTGTTACGTCCATCAAAAATTACAACATGGTATAAAGTCTAGGGGTTTAAGTGTTATAAATGAAAGTACAAGGGGGTTTCGTATTTTTAGGGTAAATCACAGGGGGTCAAATTATAATTTACCCTATATTTTTTAATTCAAAAGTAGTTGAGGTAGATTTTAAAATTTAAATTAACGTAACAATTATAAACCATTAATTTTAGATGTTAATGGTGGTTTCCAACCTAAGTATTGGTGTCATGTTCTAATTGTGTATTGGAAAAGCTTTAAATCCACCAAAATTGTGTAATGGAAAAAGCATTAAATCCATCAAAAATTAGCACTTGTACGTGCCCTATTCGTTCCAACTTTTCCCTCCTGGAAGAGAAGTTTAGACTGTCTTGTCTTAGTTATTGTCGACTCAGTTGGCTAATTCTGTCTGTTTATTTTTAGATTTTTGAGTGCGTTTATTTTGAGAAATTATTTCAGGGATTGGATTATTAGTTTATTGGACTCTATTATTTAGTTTAATTTTTCTACTTCAAATTAATGGTTCCTTTGGACTATTAGTCTCTCACATGAGGGATTATTATATCTTAAGGGGTGGAATTATTTTCACGGGATTGATATTCTATGGGACTAATGTGTGAAATGTTTATTTTACTCTTATGTTATTACTTAATAAACAATTAAAAAAGGATAAAATAATCTTTTGAACATTTATACATTATTTTTTTAGTGTTGTTCTTTTAAAATTATATATTAAATAAAAAATATAAATTATAAATTTAATTTAATTAAAAATAATAAATTAAAAATTATGGCCTTATAATTTTTTTAGTGTTGTTAAAAAATTAAATTTACATATTAAATAAAATTATTTTTTTAGTGTTGTTAATTTAAAATTATATATTAAATAAAAAATATAAATTATAAATTTAATTTAATTAAAAATAATAAATTAAAAATTATGGCCTTATAATTTTTTTAGTGTTGTTAAAAAATTAAATTTACATATTAAATAAAATTATTTTTTTAGTGTTGTTAATTTAAAATTATATATTAAATAAAAAATATAAATTATAAATTTAATTTAATTAAAAATAATAAATTAAAAATTATGGCCTTATAATTTTTTTAGTGTTGTTAAAAAATTAAATTTACATATTAAATAAAATTATTTTTTTAGTGTTGTTAATTTAAAATTATATATTAAATAAAAAATATAAATTATAAATTTAATTTAATTAAAAATAATAAATTAAAAATTATGGCCTTATAATTTTTTTAGTGTTGTTAAAAAATTAAATTTACATATTAAATAAAATTATTTTTTTAGTGTTGTTAATTTAAAATTATATATTAAATAAAAAATATAAATTATAAATTTAATTTAATTAAAAATAATAAATTAAAAATTATGGCCTTATAATTTTTTTAGTGTTGTTAAAAAATTAAATTTACATATTAAATAAAATTATTTTTTTAGTGTTGTTAATTTAAAATTATATATTAAATAAAAAATATAAATTATAAATTTAATTTAATTAAAAATAATAAATTAAAAATTATGGCCTTATAATTTTTTTAGTGTTGTTAAAAAATTAAATTTACATATTAAATATTTTTTTTTTTTGATTCATTTATCATATTTACTTTCAAATAAGTAACAATAAATATAATTTTGAAACTATACTGTCTATTTTTTTAAGATGAATATATTTTTTTTTAAAGTCATGTGCATGATTGCTAAATCAATTTTATTTCAATAATGATTTACATACAAAAATCTAAAAATTAACAGGTTGAGTAATTCATAATAAACTAAAAATATGACCCAAGCTAGACGCTCAAAAATGCCAGTGACTGCAATCATAAAAGGAAGTCTTCACCTTCCCGTTCTCATATTCGAATCTTCTAACCAACAAATACATATCTTGAAGTTATAGACCACAGGGTATAAGTCCTATTTTGAAAGGCTTATTTGGGTTGTAAAGACTTAATTTAGTACACATAAACTGACCCAGAATACCCTGCATAACAAAAAAAAAAAATAAAAAAAATTCATAATTATATTTGTATAGTCATTGAGCAATAATTTAGCGAATGACCTAAGTATTATAATGGTGGAGGATTTCTTCTGGCCTAAAATTTAAATTGGAGGAGGTTGTTTGGACATGTGAGGTTTATTATAGGTCTCGTTTCGATAATCTGAACTGTTTTTTTTGTCAGTCACTTAATGTATTTTATTCATAAGAGAAATTAGATTGATTTGATAAGTGCAATTTGTTCAATTCACTATAACAAAAAAGACATTTGGTGACAGACTGATTTTGTCTCCAAACATCAAAATTTCGTCACCAAAGTGATCTGTGACGAAAAAAATTTGTCACCACGTTCGTGGCCTATATGTCGTCACAAAAAGTACCTGGTGACGAAAAACAGTTTCGTCACCTATTTTTCATTTTTGGCGACGAAATGTTTCTTCTCCAAATGTTGAATTTTTCGTCCTCTAAAACACCAATTTCGTCACCAAAACTAAATAATATTTCATTTTAATTGTTTTTTGCGACGAAATATTTCGTCACCAAATATATTTTAGTGACGAAAGTTTTCCTCACCAATGATATGGATTAAGGTGACAAAAAAATTCGTCACTAAAATGAGCAAAAAAGAAAATTATTCAATGACAAAAAACATTTGTCACCAAATATTTCAATTTAGCGACGAAATATTTAGCAAATGTGACGAAATTATTTGTTTCGTACTATAGCATTAGTGACAAAATTATTCGTCATGTTTTTTGAAACTAATAGCGACATTTTTTATTTCGTCACTAATAAAAATTAAAAATTTTGAAAATGGAGGTACTATTTTCTTCAGAAATTTTTTCTTTTTAGTAACAATTCCCTGCGCATTTCAATAACCGGTTCAATAAAATATCTATTACAAATCAATACAAAAATCTGTTCATTTTCATAAACATCACAATCGAATTTTAGCACTATCTACAAAATTACAATATGAACTGCATGCAGATTATAAACATGTCTCCTAATATCCACAAAAAATGTCTACTAATATTCACAAAAATATAATATCAACCGTATGCAGATTACCAAACACATCTCTTAATATCCAACAAAAAACATGTCTACTAATATCAACAAAAATAAAATATCAAGGGCGGATTACCAAACATGTCCCGTAATACTAACAAAAATATAAAATTTACAACACAACCAAAATACATGTAAGGTAATATGAACAAAAACACAAAATGAGCTACCATCGGCCCTCCAAATTACCAAACACATCCATATCAAATCTCGAATCTGCAAAAAAATGAAACACAAAAAAAAAAAATGTCAGTTAGACAATTATTATCTTATCCATAACATATACAATTTAACATGCATTTTTGGGCTTAGTTTTAAAACCGGGAGTCCCGTGTAAGTTCCGTAAGTTTCCACAACTTACATTGGTCCATCCCGAGGTGTTTGAGGTGTTTTCTGGGCCGTCTCGTGGCTGTTGCACGATTTTGGTCCGCGAAGGCCTATTTTCAAGCTTAAGTGTGGAAAAGTGTATTTTTAGACTTAGTTTTCAAACCGGGAGTCCCGTGCTAGTTCCGTAAGTTTTCACAATTCACATTGGTCCATCCCAAGGTGTTTGAGGTGTTTCCCGAGCCGTCTCGTGGCTGTTGCATGATTTTAGCCCCCGAAGGCCTATTTTCAAGCTTAAGTGTGGAAAAGTGCATTTTTGGACTTAGTTTTCAAACTGGGAGTCCCGTGCTAGTTTCGTAAGTTTCCACAACTCACATTGATCCGTCCCGAGGTGTTTGAGGTGTTTCCTAGGCCGTCTCGTGGCTGTTGCACGATTTTGGCCCCCGAAGGCCTATTTTCAAGCTTAAGTGTGCAAAAGTGCATTTTTGGACTTAGTTTTCAAACCGGGAGTCCCGTGCTAGTTCCATAAATTTCCACAACTCACAATGGTCCATCCCAAGGTGTTTGAGGTGTTTCCCGGGCCGTCTCGTGGCTTTTGCACGATTTTGGCTCCCGCAGGCTTATTTTCAAGCTTAAGTGTGGAAAAGTGCATTTTTGGACTTAGTTTTCAAATCGGGAGTCCCGTGCTAGTTCCGTAAGTTTCCAAAACTCACATTGGTCCGTCTCGAGGTATTTGGGGTGTTTCCCGGGCCGTCTCGTGGCTGTTGCACGATTTTGGCCCCCAAAGGCCTATTTTCCAACTTAAGTGTGAAAAAGTGCATTTTTGGACTTAGTTTTCAAACCGGGAGTCCCGTTCTAGTTCCGTAAATTTTCACAACTCATATTTGTCCATCCCGAGGTGTTTGAGATGTTTTCCGGGCCGTCTCGTGACTGTTGCACGATTTTGGCCCCCGAAGGCCTACTTTTGAAGCTTAAGTGTGAAAAAGTGCATTTTTGGACTTAATTTTCGAACTGGGAATCCCGTGCTAGTTCCATAAGTTTACACAGCTCACATTGGTCTCGTGGCTGTTGTACGATTTTGGCTCCCCGAAGGCCTATTTTCAAGCTTGAGTGTGGAAAAATGCATTTTTGGACTTAGTTTTCAAATCGGGAGTCCCGTGCTAGTTCCGTAAGTTTTCACAACTCACATTGGTCCGTCCCGAGGTGTTTGAGGTGTTTCCCGGGCCATCTCGTGGCTGTTGCACGATTTTGACCCCCGAAGGCCTATTTTCAAGCTTAAGTGTGAAAAAGTGCATTTTTGGACTTAGTTTTCAAACCGAGAGTCCCGTGCTAGTTCCGTAAGTTTTCACAACTCACATTGGTCTGTCCCGAGGTGTTTGAGGTGTTTCCCAGGCCGTCTCACGGTTGTTACACGATTTTGGCCCCCGAAGACCTATTTTCAAGCTTAAGTGGGGAAAAGTGCATTTTTGGACTTAGTTTTCAAACCCGGAGTCCCGTACTAGTTCCGTAAGTTTCCACAACTCACAATGGTCCATCCCGAGGTGTTTGAGGTGTTTTCCAGGCCGTCTCATGGCTGTTGCACGATTTTGGCTCCCCGAAGGCCTATTTTCCAACTTAAGTGTGAAAAAGTACATTTTTGGACTTAGTTTTCAGACCGAGAGTCCCGTGCTAGTTCCGTAAGTTTTCACAACTCACATTGGTCCATCCCAAGGTGTTTGAAGTGTTTCCTGGGCCATTTCATGGCTGTTGCACGATTTTGGCCCCCGAAGGCCTATTTTTGAAGCTTAAGTGTGAAAAGGTACATTTTTGGACTTAGTTTTCAAATCGGGAGACCCGTACTAGTTCCGTAAGCTTTCACAACTCATAAACCGAGGTGTTTGAGGTGTTTCCCAGCTTGTCTCGTGGCTGTTGCACGATTTTGGCCCCCGAAAGCCTATTTTCAAGCTTAAGTGTGGAAAAGTGCATTTTTGGACTTAGTTTTCAAACCGGGAGTCCCGTGCTAGTTCCGTAAGTTTCTACAACTCATATTGGTCCATCCCGAGGTGTTTGAGGTGTTTTCTGGGCCGTCTCGTGGTTGTTTCACGATTTTGGCCCCCGAAGGCCTATTTTCAAACTTAAGTGTGGAAAAGTGCATTTTTTGACTTAGTTTTCAAACCAAGAGTCCCGTGCTAGTTCCATAAGTTTCCACCACTCACATTGGTCCATCCCGAGGTGTTTCAGGTGTTTTCTGGGCCGTCTCGTGGCTGTTGCCCGATTTTGGCCCCCGAAGGCCTATTTTCAAGCTTAAGTGTGAAAAAGTGCATTTTTGGACTTAGTTTTTAAACCGGGAGTCCCGTGCTAGTTTCGCAAGTTTTCACAACTCACATTGGTCCATGCCAAGGTGTTTGAGGTGTTTCCTGGGCTGTCTCGTGCCTGTTGCACGATTTTAACCCCCGAAGGCCTATTTTTAAGCTTAAGTGTGGAAAAGTGCATTTTTGGACTTAGTTTCAAACCGGGAGTCCCGTGCTAGTTTTGTAAGTTTCCACAACTCACATTGGTCCGTCCAGAGGTGTTTGAGGTGTTTCCCAGGCCGTCTCGTGACTGTTGCACGATTTTGACCTCCGAAGGCCTATTTTCAAACTTAAGTGTGGAAAAGTGCATTTTTGGATTTAGTTTTCAAATCGGGAGTCCCGTGCTAGTTCCGTAAGTTTTCACAACTCACAATGGTCCATCCCGAGGTGTTTGAGGTGTTTCCTGGGCCGTTTCGTGGCTGTTGCACGATTTTGGCTCCCGAAGGCCTATTTTCAAGCTTAAGTGTAGAAAAGTGCATTTTTGGACTTAGTTTTCAAACTGGGAGTCCCACAAGTTTCCAAAACTCACATTGGTTCGTCCTGAGGTGTTTGAGGTGTTTCCCAGGCCGTCTCGTGGCTGTTGCACATTTTTTCGACTAGTTCCATGCCTACATGTTGGAATAGTTTTCGACTTATTCGTGCATATTTCAGTGTTTGTGATGTTTCTCGGGCTTTTACGTGCATAGTTCACTATCTTAGTTGAAGAAGAAATTTCTACTAAATTATCATAGAAACATAATATACTAACCAAATAGCTTGTCAATCAGAATCTGAACTTTCCCCACTCTCAAAATTTCCCGTGACACCTTTCTGCCTCAAACACTCGATGATACTTTGTATCTTCTTGCTTTGTTTCTTCTCTGACTTTTCAAACCTTGCAATTTGTTCTTTTTGTTGTGCTATTTGCAGCTCGAGGCATTGAACATGGTCACTATTTTCAGCAGGTGCAACAGTTGTATTCACAAAAAAAGAAGGCCTCATACCGAGTCCTTTTACATAACCTGGCCTTGGCTGAAGCACCTTCACTGACAACTCCTCTGGGGTCAAGGGGATCGCACTAGTCTGCGAGAGGTGTTCTGCTTGCGTCTATATCAGGTTGTCCTATTAATTTGAAATAAATCAAACAAGTATTAGTTATTCTACCCTGCACAACAAAATAAATAATATTATCAAAATTGAAAGGCATTGCCTTCTACATACATAATTAACTTGGCTCTCCGATGAAATCCATTCATGCGTGTCCGAATTGTAGTGGATGGACTTGTAAAATTCTGCTAAATCGGGCGCTTTTCCATTTGCAATTATCTGCTTCATTTGTTTGTCAATGTTAATTCAATGATTTAAATAACAAAGCCTACTAATCCAATAAAATAAATTAGTAGAACGCACCGAGCTGTGTACCCTGACTGGGATTATTTTGATCCACATCGATGTTTTGCTTTCATTTACATCCTATTATTCACATTAGCTACATCATTATAAGTTCGATTATGAAAAAAAATTTGGGGTGTTAAACATTTTCTATTTGTAAATATCCTACATATTAAAAAATGAAAAAAAAATAAATAAAAAAAATGTGTAGCTTTTTGATATGTGTCTATCAGTTTTGTTTGATGGATATAAACAATTGATGTATCAATTTAAAAAATTAAAAAGTTAAAAAAAATAGATTGGGTTTTTTTGAGATAAAATAAACTATCTAACTCTTCTTTATACTATTAAGATGGACTATTTTAATCATATAAAAAAATAAAAATTATATTTAGATATTATCCCTACATATTATGCTATTATATACAACTACAGTTGTAACAAATTAACTATAATATATATGAAAAGTTATATTAAACTTTCATTTTTAATTAATTGAATTATAATTAACAAACTAATAAATAGCAGTAATGGTCTAATGGGATAGAAAGAGAATAAAAATAAAGAATTTAGTAATATTTAAAAGTTTTAAATTTACCTAGTTATACAAAATTCTAATATTATAGTAAAATCTTAAATTCTCAATAAATTTTCACATTTTTTATAACATAAAATGACAAAAAATATATAAAAAAAAATGATACCCATTTTTTTAGCTTCAATTTTATGGTCTTTATTGAAGAAAACAAAATCCGATCAAAATCCTTGGTATGGAATGGACATAGATATTTCGATTGCAACCATAATTATCAATAATTCTTCTCTACAATGCAAACCTATAAACAAACACATAAACCTTATTAAAACCGAAACCAAAGCCAAACCAACAGTAGAGAAAGAGAATCACACAGAGAAAAAATAAAATTAAAAAATAATTAAATTTATAGAGTGTGAAAATGTTACCTCCAACAACTTAAACCTCACCTAACCCAATCCTTTAACTCCTCTGCCAGTGTCCGTGAACTTTAAGAGTTGAGATGACTAATGAGATTATTCTTTAAATAAAACTTGAAAATTGATTAATTTGTCTCATTAGATGATTTAAAATTTTGATATATATACATCAGAAAAATAGATAATTATATTACTAAATCATAATTCAAATGTAGTATCCATATCTAAATTCTTATTTTTTTTTATTGTTTTTGTGTGTTTCTATTCGGTTTTTTTTTCCAATTTATTTAAGATGGAGTTGTGGGTATCTATTTTTTTTTAATTTAATTTATCTGTGGTTTCTATTTGTTTTTAATTATTATTATTTAGGTAAGTTATGATGTGATTTAGATATGTGATAAACATGTGAGTTTTATTGATTAAAAGTATAATGTGGGAGATATTTTCAAATTAGATTTGTTTAGATAAACTTTAAAAAATTCTAAAATTTAAAATTGGATATTGAGATGCAAAAGAAAAATTTTAACTGAATAAATAAAAATCAAATTTATTAATTTTATCTGTTTGTATATTTGATTTTTAGATTTTTTTGTTATGTTATAATATAATATATAAGATATTGATAGATATCTACAACTTTTATAAAAAATATTATCTGATTTTTTGGGGAAGAGAGAAGGATTGCAAGTTTTAATTTTTTTTTAGATCAATATCTAAATTCTTATCTTTTTTTATTTTTGTGTGGTTTCTATTCGGGTTTTTTTTTCCAATTTATTTAAAATGGAGTTGTAGGTATCTATTTTTTTTTTAATTTAATTTATCTGTGGTTTCTATTTGTTTTTAATTATTATTATTTAGGTAAGTTATGATGTGAGTTAGACATGTTATAGACAAGTGAGTTTGATTGATTTAAAGTACAATAATGGGGGATATTTTCAAGTTAGATTTGTTCAAATAAATTTTAAAGATTTTTAAAACTTAAAATTGGATATTGAGATATAAAAGAAAGATTTTAACTGAATAAATAAAAATCAAATTTATTAATTTTTTCTATTTGTATATCTGATTTTTATTTTTATTTTTTGAAAATTAGTCTAAGGTCCCTCTCCCATTTTTAGTAATGGAAGAGATCCACAAAATTATTTTTTGATGTTTAAGGTCCCTAAACATATATCAGAGAAATTTGACTTGCGGTTTCAGTTCGTCCTTGATTCGAACATTGTGACCTTTGAATTTCGAAATCGGCCATCTCGATCCACTCTAATCAAAACCAGATTGTTGGGCTTTTCGTAATTGATTGCCATTTCTCCACTCGACCCAGATTTTCAATTGATTTGATTCGCATACCCATCACGATCTGAATGAACAACAAAGAAATTTGAACTGTTGAATTCCACATTCGACATGCAGGGGTAGATCTGAAATTGATTCAGAAAGGTTGGGGTGAGATCTGAAATTGATCCGAAAGTCTTTGATAAGGTTTCGCCCTGTTTCGCATAAACACCTGGAGTGATTCTAAATCTTCTCCAATTGAAGAACCGGAAAACAACCAATGTATAAAAGCATTACTATCTGTAAACACTACAACTTCATCATGATGAGTGGTACCAGTTATTGCTGAACCATCATCTGCAACAGCATCCTTGTATTTATGTGGCGTAAGTTCCCATTGCAGTAAATGCTCATCTAGAAGGAGACACAATGAATCACCATTAAAAACAATGCTCTCCTTAACTTCATTCCCCTGTTTCGCACAAACACCTGGAGTGACTTGGGTTCTTGATTGCTGGTTGATCATGGATACAAACTGGTTTAATGGACAACCATGAATCACAGACCCAACCAAGTGGCGGCCGGGGGGGGGGGGGGGGGGGGGGGCTTTCTCTAGATACTAGAAAGAGAAGCAAGCTCATACTTTTTGGGATTTTCTCTGGGTTGTGGAGTCCAGAGAAATTCTTTGGGTTGAGAGAATTTCTCTGGAAATATTTGTCTGGGAATTTTCTCTGGGTTCTCTCGGTGAGAGAATCTCTAGAAATGTTTGTCTCAGAATTTCTCTAGGTTTGGAGAGTCCAGAGAAATTTTGAAATTTCTCTTTGATGTGTCCAAAGAATTTTACAGTGGGAATTTTTTTTAGACTAATTTTCTTTGGACCAATTTTCTTAAACTTTGTTGGCCTACTGGTTACAAAGTTTAAACTTTAGTAGTTGAATCAGGGGAATGAATGGATTTAGTGATTGAATTCTTGCTAGATTTTTGTCTTAAACTTTGTTTTGCGTTGAATTTGTCAATTGTAAAACCTGGTGATTAGTTAATTGACATCACATTTTAGGTTTGTAGATTCTGGGGTTTTAACTCTCTTGAACTCCAAGGAATGGTTGTTGGCCTACTGGTAACAATGAGAATAAAAGTTTCTGGGTTCACTGCACAGATCTGTAGAATAGATTCTTGAAGCATTACGTTACATTACATTTTTGTTTTGATAAATGAAACGTTACATTACATGTTAGAGGATAGCTGTTAGTGTGTGCATTATGGAGCCTTAAGAAACTTTTGAAAACGTTCAACACACGTGAATTTTACAGTGAGAAATTTCTCTGTGACGTGAATTTTCTCTGAACTAATTTTCTTTGAACTAATTTTCTCTAAACTAATTTTCTCTGGACCAATTTTCTCTGGATCAACTTGAGAGATCTTAGACATTATGAAAATATTGAGTGTCCTTTATGCTGTAAAATCTTAATACTAGGGACCTTAAAAAAAAATTTCCCTTTTTTTTTTGTTATGTTATAATATAATATATAAGATATAGATAAATATCTACAATTTTCATAAAAAATATTATCTAATTTTTTGGAAAAGAGAGAAGGAATGCAAGATTTAATATTTTTTTAGATTCATATTTAAATTCTTTTTTTTTTTTTGTGTAATTTCTATTCGGGTGTTTTATAAATAATCTACACAAAATTTAAAAATAATGTCCAGAATTATTGAACTGAGTCCATACGACGGTCTAATCTTTTTTCCCATTGGAGAGAAGTTGGAACCAATAACACACACAGTGCTAATTTTGATGGATTTAAAGCTTTTCCATTACACATTTAGAACACGAGACTTATACTTCAATGTATAAGATTGGAATTTGGAAACACATAATTTAAGTGTTTTGGAAAGTTGATAAAAAGTTAATTTTTTAATTTTTTTAGTTTATTTTATTTTTTGTGGATGAAAAATATGAGAGGTGATGTGACCTAAAATGGATAAAAAACTAAAAACTAGTTTTTTTTATTACTTCCCAAAAGCTAAAAGCTAAAAACTAAAATGAATGGTTTGTAATTACTATGTTAATTTAAATTTTAAAATCACAACTACTTTTGAATTGAAATTAAAAATATATGGGTACATTACATTTACCTCCCCTGAGATTTTTTATAAATATAGGGACTTTTCCTGTTGTTTGAATAATTACAGTAACCTCCCCTGCTTTACTTGACAATGTCAAGATTTTCCTTTCTGTCAAATTGTTTCAAACGGTGTTACTATAATAAATTACCTTATTGCCCTTCTTTTTAAAATATTAAAAAATGTTTTTGGATTGGAGGACAGGTTTGGAAGAAACAAACAGTGTTTGGAACAGTATTTTTGGATTTATTTTTTTAAAATATTAAAAAATGTTTATAAAAAATTTATTTTTTATTTTAAATATACAATTTTTATTTAAGTATTTTTAAATATTTTATTTTATTTTGTATATATTTTAATTTTTTAAATTTTAATATTTTAAACTCAAAATACAACTTCATACTCAAATTGTAACCAAACGCATAACTCAAAACTCAATTCAAACATTATTTTCGAACCTCATAACCAAACACATAACTCCATACTCCACATTATTTTCAAAACTCTACACTCAAATCATAACCAAACGCATAAGAAAAAAATTAAAATATTAAAATATATATTTATAAAATGAAATAAAATATTTAAAATAAAATTATATATTTAAAATAAAATAATAAATTTTTTAATATTTAAAAAATATATTTAACATAAGTTTGTATTTTTTCAAGTTTGTGTTTGGTTATAAGTTTTGAAAATAATTTTTGAATTGAGTTTTGAATTGTGTATTTGGTTAAACCTCTATAAGTTTTGAAAATTTCTAATTGGAATTGTGATTCTAAAAAAGAACCAAACATGTTTATAAAAAAACTCTTTTTTCGGAACATGTTTTTACTCAAAACTCAATTAAAAAATTATTTTCAAAACTCATAACCAAATACAAACTTAAAACCGAATTCAAAACTTTTTTCAAAACTCAAAACCAAACTTGTTCAAAAACTCTATT